TTTTTTTTTTTTTTTTTTGTTACCTAATAATACTATCAAATTTTCATATAAATTAATAATATGGGTTGTTCCAATAATTTTATTACTTTAATTAAGTTTAATAATTAATTATCATAAGTTTGTTCATTAATAAATTTATTAGGAATAATGTATTTTTATTTTTTTTTTTAAATTAGTTTATTTAACCATCCATTTTAATAATTATACTGAAATAGATCAATTTAATAAAATTATATAAATTTTTAATTACAAATAATTAATACAATAATCAAATTAACAAATTAATTATGTATGTTATATTTTGAAATTAAATATCATCCTATCAAATAACAACAAACATCAAATAATGAAAATGAACATTTATATTATATATAAATATGTGGTAGTTGTAAGGACTCGACTTTCCACACACGCGTTGGTCGGAGTTGTCACTTAGCAATAAAAAAAAAATTATAACTTAAATACATGAAAACATGCTAACGGTAATTTACAAACAAAAAAAAAATCATGCTCGGGGTACCCTCTAAATAATTTTAAAAAACATGAAATTTGAATAGTTAGTTTCACACAACATCATTCCAAAATTTCATAGTTCCCATGAACTAGGGGTGTTCTAACAAAACTTAAAACAATAAAATAAGTTTAATGTGGAAGCGTCCTAGATAGTAAATTAAAACATCAAACTCTGAGTTGTCGTATGACCATCCTTTCCACCCTGCTCGCACTCCCATGCTACAACGTTGTCCTTACCTGAAAATCAAGTATTAAAATACTCATTAAGGCTATCCACTTTTGGGGCCAGATATGTAAACTACCATATAGTTCATCAATCGAAATCAAGACACCTTGGTGATTGATTACTCATAACACATAGCGTGTAATCTACTTATCCAAAATAGTTTACAGCAATCATTTAGTGACAAATAGTGGTTGACTACCCGATACACACAGTGTGTAACCCTTACTGCGGTATTCATGAAAATTATGAACAAAGTGTTCAGGGAGTATCTTGATGTCTTTATCATTGAGCTCATCATAACATCTTGGTACTCTAAGTCAGAAGCAGAGTATGAAGATCATGGAAGGTCTTGTCTGGATTCCAGCCTTCAAGCAGAGCTTTTAGGAATTAAAGTGAGGATGGTGATAGCACCAATTCTTATAATGTCCGATGACACGGATAATCTCGTTGTGTATAATGTCACCTTAGGAAAAAGACTCGGTTGTGTGCTTGTGCAGAATAGAAAAGTAATTGTCTATGCCTCCAGACAACTGAAGGGTTATGAATGCAATTACCCCACACATGAGACACAGAAGGTGGTCGGAACTAGTGAAAGACTATGGCATCGAGATTCTTTACTACCTAGGCAAAGCTAATGTTGCAGCAGTGTCTTTAAGTTGGAAAACAACCCACACTTCTGCATTGATCACCAAAAATAGCGAGTTATAGGTTGAGATTTTCGATATTGATGTTATGGTCAAAGGCATCACTGCTCCTGCTCAGTTAGCATAGCTAACCGTCCAACCTACCTTCCATAAGTGTATTATATACACATAGATAACAGACATGCATCTCTATACAAGGTTTGTGAATTGCAGGAGATAGAGAGAGTTGAGGGGTTCTTAGTTTCGATAAACGACGAATTCTTGTGGCAACATCGTCTATGTGTGTTGAAGGATGAAGAGATCCAGAAGAAGACATTGGCTAAAGCTCATGATACATCCTATGCATTCTACCTTGGAAGGACGAACATGTATCAAGACCTGAAGGGTAGCTACTGGTCACCAAGATTGAAGGGAGAAGTTGCAGAACTTGTGAGTCAATGACTTGTTAGCTAGTAAAGGACCTAAAAATAGGCTCTTAACTGCATAATGTCTCATGTCTCTCGAAAGTAAACATGAGGTACTTTCACTTCGAGAGGATCTGTATTATAAAAAGATTCCTGTCAAGTGGTTGCATAACAAAGAGATTCCTTTAGTCCCGATCTTATGGGGTAACCATCGAGACAACGAGGTGACCTAGAAATGTGAGGAGGACGTGAGAAGGTCCTACCAAAAACTCTTTCTAAGGATATATAACTTTTGGGACAAAAGTTCCTACGTAGGGGAGAATTTGTAACGCTCGAACCTGGCAGGTACATCAATTTTCCTAACTCTCTCTTTACTTTACCTACTCAAACACTCTTTACTTCTTATTTTTCAAATGTATGATGTCGTTGGTTGAGGTTTGGAGGTGCTTGGAAACATAGTAACCATAGAGGGGTATTAACAACTCAATAATAACTCAATAATAGTATCTTCGTAAATCAAGATAAATACACTAAAAATTTTGACACGATAGAATTTTCGAGGCTTCAAATCTTGGATCGTGACTAAAAAAAGTCAAAAACAAGCAAATAAAATAAAAGAAGGTACCATTTAAATCAAATTAAAACAAATAATATAGCAATTAAAATCAAAACAAAATTCAACTACAAATAGGTGTCATTTGAGTTTATATTACAAATGGAAAATGAGTTTGGGATACAATTACAAACAAAATACAAAAGATCTAAAATACAAAGATTGGACTGACACCTTGGGACAACTCCTCTATGACCACACAGCTCTCGAACGCTCCTCAACCTCGAGTGACAACTGCGCATACCTAAAAAAAAAAAAAAAGGAAAAACGGGTGACTATAAAAATACTTATTAAGCAATCTACTTGTAAGCTATCATCACACCCTTGACCTAGTAGGTATCTACGCCTAATTCTATAGTTACTTGAGCTTCTGAAAATGTCTCGAAGTTCGGAGCGATTCTCATGATTGTCACAAACCCACTTTGGGTCTAGAGGTAGTTGTTCACTCACTTCTAGGGTCAACTAAGCAACAAATCTCATATCTAGGTTGAATTACTTTTCTATTCTTGGAGTTAGTCAGCTTGCATAGCCACAATAGTTAACATTCGGTATTGTGGGTTGAGGCACTACCTCATAAAATCTGTTACAATAGTATGGCATCTTGAAGTTTTTGAACATTATCATCATAGGGCCATAGAGTCAAGGAATCTAGGGGGATCGACCCTCATGTATTGGCCAATTACTAGGTTATCTGTGTGATCCTATGCCCCCTCTCAAGACGAGTTTACAACGTAGAGGTTTTGTTCAAGAGTCCCCTAGTCATTTCACACAATAGTGACATCTGGTCATCTCGACATGTTGTACTATCCGACCTAGGTTTGGCTTGACGATACTTGTACTATTATCTCTAGGTAGGACATGCATTAAAGGTGTACTAAAGGAGATAGGAAGTAGAAATTCTATCCGTACTATCAAATTGCTATTAGGCATGTTAAACTTTCTTAGTTATCTTTGTCGTGAAAATCTACAAGATTCTAAGAGACGTCTAAACAGTTTAAATCTAATCTCACGTTTTTAGGACGCTCGGGAATAGCTCCTCATGACTAATCCAATTCCTTGGTGCACTCAAGGCTAGACCACTAGATTCTCAATAGGAGTAATTAAGCAATTAAATAAAAAATATAAAAAAAATAAACACATTCAAAATCAAAGTATAAAACCTAAAAATATATATATTTTTTTTTTTAGAAAAATCTAAAAAAATCTTATCATTATTTTAAATGAAATAACAAAATATAGTTTTAATGCATCTGCTGCTACTACGTAAATGACCATATTTAATGAGTTGTTTTGAAAAAATGTCAATTAAAAAAAAAAACTAAATTTAGATTTGAATTTTGAAAATTAAATGAAATTAGAACTCACCAACGTAAATCCAAAGTAGAATTAAAACATGAATCTAGATTTACCAATATTTCATTCCATTTTCATTTTCAACATTTTTCAAATGGATTTCTTACCATTTTCCTTCCCTAAACTAAATTAATTTTTAATGCTTATCTAAATTTTATGGATTGGATGGAGTTGCATTGGAGCCAACTAGATAGACAGATTTGTTTATAACCTCATTCATTATTAACAAAAATATCATCCTTCAACTATACATAAGACCAAACTAGACTAAGCTTTACATATTTGCTCATTGGTTATTTTGTAAATATTATTAAATAGAAGGCTAAATTAATAAAAGTATTCAAAAATATCCTTAAATCCTTTTGAAAAGTTCAAAAAATACATATGGAATGAATTTTTAAAATAACATTAATATCCTTAAAATTTAAAAATAATTATAAAAATTGTTACCCTTACTAAACAAAAAATAATTTATGGATCATCTTAACTTTTTTTTTTCTCTGTAATGAATGATTCAACCCATAATTAAACAATTTACAGTTTCTTATTCTTTTTATTCTTCTTAAACAACCTCTTAATTCCCTTCTTTCCTTCTTAAATCTCTAAAACTTTCCTCTTTTCTTCTTTATTTATTTATTTATTTATTTTTTATTTAAATTCTCTCGGAATATTTTCAAATATAAATATAACAAAATTCAATAATCATATAGCCCACAAGTGGATTATTTTCCAACTAAAAATAATTTTAAATTTTTTTTTTAGAGTTGAACATTTTTATATTTTATAGGTAGAAATCTCCTATAAAGAAGAGAGAGAAAAAGAGATTGCATCACAGAGAGATTTCATTTATATATTAATGATAGTAACTTATAAATTTTTTTATAAAAAAATTAAAGATGTTAATACTATTTTTGAACTTATGGTATTAACAATACCATCCACATTATCAATAAATATATTTTTTGAATTTTTTAAAAAAATGTAATGATATTAGTGAAGCCTTTGAAAATTTGAGGCGAGTATTTTTAACTTCGGTACTAATAAATAAAACAGTTCAAAAGTTCAAAATTTTGAAATAAAGTTAAAAGTGTTTTTAAAAGTACTAAAAAAAATTGAAATTAAAGTAAAACAAAATTCAAAATTAATCAAGTGTTTCTAAGTTCAGATCTGAACAGAGATCTGTTATGCAGTGAACAAGAGCGACATATACAATCTTCTTCATGCACTTAAGAAAGCTGAAACATTTATTTTAAATGCACACTGCTTTGCTTCTGTTTTGTGTGTTTGCTGCTAAATGCATTCAAAATTTCTTCCCCACCTTCATTCTGGGCTGCTGCTTAATCGCTCGGGAAATATAGCAGTCGAACTTCAAGCATTATACGTGATCAACGAATGTTGTAAGCTTACAAAGTAGTATCTTTCCATTTCAACTTCAACCCTAGTATGGGAAAACTACCAATTTACAACAATTTCTAACACGACCCATGACCACTTCGACACTTCATCAAAACAAATAATCCCCCACTGCATAACCATGTTGCATGAGAGGTTGAAACGCGTCGACAGCACGTCTTAGTCCAAAAGTATATAGGAGATGATGAAAATGTTCTCACTAATGAACGCCATTTTAACTTCTACACAGCCCAGAAAGGTTTTCGACTTGCCAAGCCACCAGTGGAGTTCTTGCTGTTCAATGATTCAACGCCTTCCTCTGCATCATCATCTTCTTCTTCTCCATATTCCATTAGCTTGACTAATGTATCTGCATAAATTATCAAAAAGAGATCACTCGCAAAAACTAGAATGGAAGCAGGTTAGGTAATTAAATGGTATCCTTTCATTGGGAAGAACTTTTTTTTTCTTTAACAAAGAACATATTTCTAGCGTGATTGGCTATCAAACTACAAGTAGAAAACCAAGTCAGTTATCCCACCTGAGACAATATCAGGTTTTATTGTGTCCAACGATAGTTCCTTATCTTGCACTATAACCTTAACTGTTGATGTAGACTTTACTGGTGTGGGTGGAGGTGGCATGGATCGGGGCCGAGGTGGTGGCATTTCATTGGATGAAGGCTGAACTAGCTTCCTAGGAGCAGGCATATTTGATACATTTCTCACAGTGGTATCTGCTGCTGATTTGTTTGAGGGCTTCAAAAGTTTTGAATCCTGCAAGTGGAATTAGAAGGGAAATATACAACATAATTGGACCAACTTCAAATCCGACACACCGCAAAAGCCTACCAGAGCAATGAGCATCTTTAATTTGACTTATAAATTACCCATCAAATCATGTATGTGAGAGCAAAGGAAATATCAATATGGTCATTAAATTAAACAGTGATCGAAATCATTTTAAAAAATGGCAGACTCAGCTGACAAAGAAATCAAAACACAAGAAATAACAATTTCTACATCAAGAGCAACACATCAAGAATGGTCATGGTTACGTAAGGCCTTCAAGAGATGACTAGAAGAATAGCAAGCAACAGCACAAGAATAATGTGATAAAAAAATCATTGGAAACAAAATGGAGATGAACAACAAAACAGGCACGATTTTTGAATCCTTGTTAGATGAGACCATTAACAGCCATCAGTTCCAGAGGCTGAAAGCCTGCGAAACTGAAAAAACAAACCAATGTTCCAACAATGTGGTCCAAGAACTTCAGCCTGTAAAGCTTCAAAAGTCAGAGAAAATACCTGTAACATTAAGCACTGAGGTTAGCCAAAGATAAACTGCATATCGAAAATAGGTCATTATGAACAAAGCCAGTGACGTAATGTTACAACAATTGAGGTGCAGATACGGAAGAAAGATTGAAATCATCATGTCATGCAATTCTAGACTGAGAACTACGGCTAAGTTCAAACTAAGAGATGGACCATGTCTATTCAAGATTAAGATGTACAATATCAATATTTCTATCAAAAGAAAATATTAGCCTAACTACATAAGCGTGACAACATCTCCAGCCCTTTCATTCTAGATTGGCGTTATGAAAGATAAGATAACCAAACCATTGGATTCCTTCAAATGAATTACTCAAGGTTTTTTAGCTTGTTCTTATAGATATGAAATAAAAAAACACTATATAATAAAACCAAAGCAGGAACCTGAAGGCGAAAATCTCTTTTCAAGTTCCAAAACAATAAGGTGATAGGCCTTCTGTTATTACTTTTTGTAGGAGAAGAGGATAGAATAGGTATAGAAGGAGCATAGGTATTTGAAAGTGAAAATCTGTCATGGGAGGTGTTCAAGAGTCATGTTTGTTCATGTTTTTGTCTTGTTTGTTTTTGGACAGAAACCAGGCTTTCATATTATCAATTACCCCTTTTGCATCCCATTTCATACTATCAATGAATGGTTACTATTTCCTATACGAAAAAATACCGAACTTACATGGAGAAAATAAATCAAAGAATATAATGACCATACAAAAAGACAGACCAACAAAAGGAGCCAAAATTAAAAAAAGAGGATACAAAATAGGACCTAAAGGTTAATTATAAAAGTCCTGATACACTGCCGTACAAAGAATAGAAACCTCACAAGGGACCAAATCTCCTCTCACAATCTTTCTAACTCTCCTAAAAATCTTATCATTTCTCTCTAGCACTTCCACACGGAATAGCACAGACACCTGAGAGAAACAAATAATGCCTATCCTCACAGAAAGGGAGGTGAAGAATCCTCAACAATGAAAAAGCAATCCGATGACAGAAACCCAAAACTCACCACACATTTGGAATAAAAAAACGATTCCAGACCAACAAAACAAACTAGCTTAACTCCCAAGAGTGTGGTCAACATCCTCTGCTGTCCTATCACAGATGCAGCACTCCAACAAACAATGAAAAAAAACCACAAGAAAACCCTTGAAGGATCAAAACCCCAAATTTGGACATCCCCCTCCTCCCCTAAACAACAAAAACTCCATAAGCAGCAACAACATCCATAATATTTGTCCTCTTCATATTAGAAAAGAGAAGACAAATTACCAGTAGAAGGAAAAACAGAGACCATAGAATGACACCTCATGGAAACGAAGGAACAATGTGCTGAGAGTCTACCTCCCTTCCCCTTATCCTTCCAAAAATATATAATAGACCCATCACCCATAAAAAAACTAAACTGAGAGAAAAAAGGAAACCTCTCAGCAATAGATTTGCATAGGTTTCTGAAAATACCTTTCGGATCTCAATCAGAGAGACCATACATGCTCACAATAACCTTAGGGCACATACGGTGTTAGTTTCCAGAAGAAAATGCCACAAATTTTTTACCAATAAGGCCTCATGCATGTTATAAGCTTGGGCAATAGGAGAGGAGGGGTATATTGGCTTGTTCTGGTATTATAGTTATGGGAGAGACCTTTTGACCCACTTGGGCAATATAGTCGAGGGAGAAACAGGAGTATTCAAATACTTCCTTTGCTTGTACCATTGATTATTATCAATTAATAGATTGAGTTCTATCAGCCAGAAATAATTTCACTTTAAATTGCCCCAATTGACACTAAACCCCCAAAAAGAATTTTCAAAATGAACTCTTCGTCACACACTTGTTCAAGTCCCTGTCCAACTTACACACCCGGTATTCTATCAATTCTGATGTATCTATGCAAGGATTGACATTAAACAGGCCACAGCCTTCACACTTGAAAAGCTTGTCCTTCCTCAATGATCCCTTTAAAATGGCTCAAAATACAAATCAAATAAAGAGCTAAACACTCAAACAAGAGGGAATAAACTGATACCTGATTGCTTATTGGGGAACCCTGCACACAAATTGGTAGCTCTTGAAATTTACGCCTCTGATGAGGACGTTTTTCTTTCTCTGCATCAGTGCTAACACTCACATTCGACATGCTCGGTGCTGACCTGTTTGGGACAGCTACAGACATGGTAGTTGAAGATACTTGTTTAAGGGCTAGGGCAACTTGTTGTAAAGGTGTCGCTTGAGGATATATTCCACTATATCCATTATAGTTTGTCCCACTAGATATAAGTGGCTTGGAATAACTAATGGCAGTTGATTGAGACTGTGACAATCCAGCTTGTAATATTGAACCTTGAGTGATCACAGGAGCAGCTCCTGGTATAACAGAAGAAACTTGAGAGACTATGGTTGGAGAAGCTGACGAGATCGAACTGGAAGCTGAACTTGTACTCGTCTCATTTCCCAAGCTATCAACTCCTGTATACAACTGCTGTGGTGTTGAACAAAGCAGTGGAGGTGGAACAGCATTATAAACCTTTGGTGGAGGTGGAACAGCTCCATAGACCTGAAGCAGAGGTGGAATAGCTCCGTAAACCTGTGGTGGAGGTGGAACAGCTCCATAAACCTGCTGTGGAGGTGCAACAGCACTATAAACCTTACATGATGAAACCCTAAAACAGTTGGAAACATCGGCGAAAGTTATACCTTAATAGTTAATACAAATATACAACGACATCTCATGCAACAATTAATTAAATGATTTTACTTTCCATGAGAAATGATAAAATACACAACAAAATAGCCTGAACTACTTAACCGAATCTCTAAAAGATGAGTTCTAAATCAACACAACAGAGAAAAGATTTTAACACTTATCACGCGTCAGGGAAAATTTCTACTTGGTTCTCCTCTCCCGAACTCTTGTAATTATGACACCTAATCTACTAATGCCAAATGAAGGAATTATTTTGATGCACTTGCCTTTGGATTGATTTTTCATAGCCCGCTTTTGAAACTTTCACTAAAGAAAGTTCCTGGTTTCTTATTAAAAAAAATAAGGGTAGGGAAATTTATACCACATAAATAACATTGAAAAACCACCACCGACAAGAAACCTTTAGAATGTCAACCCTTAGATCAAAACAAATTGCTTCATGATAGAAATAAGTTGCAGTTGCTGCTATATGAGGTCATAAAGATGGGAAATAGAAAAGGATTACATGCCTCTGCACTGCAACTTCTTTCAGAGAGGATTCATATGCCTATGCGTTTCTCTTTAAATGCTTATGCACAAATCAGAAACCAATTAACTTATTAGTAGAACACTAACAACAAAACACACAATCCAATTACCTTGAAACACCAAACTCTTTACTGATTGTATCCATCAGGTTTTCAGCCAAATTTTTGGCATCCTCAAGACTTTTGAAATTGTTACTAGACAAGAATAAATGCAATGGTTCTGCAAAAAGAGAAGATTTTATTCAAATTCAATGTGGATGATAAAATAGCACTGCACAGTCATACTCTCTTATTAATTATAATGATGGTAGGAATCATCATGGTGAAAAATACCTTCACATGCACCTTCAGTACTTCCCGAACCAAGTCCTCGGAGAGAGACAGTTACTCCTGTTTCAGCCATTATGTGATTTATATACTGGTCCTGCACAAGACAAAACAAAGCCACCAACACAAAAACAATCTCCCCCAGATGTTTGGAGATGCAAAGCTTAAAACATTAGCATCTCTCACCTTGATTGTATGAAACAAAAATATTAACTTCCAAAGAACACGGTCATGAAACGAACAACAAAACAAGGAAAACATACACGATTTCTTGAGAATGACACCATGTCATTGCAAATGGCAAGAATATAAAATTACATTGTGCAAGTAATAAATCAGTAATGCTATAAATTATTTTCCCCTTTCTTAAGAAAGAAAAAACCATCTGTTTTGAACAATGTCAAACGTGCTAGAGAAATGATAAAGTCAAAATTAAAATTTATAATCTTTAGTTAACAGTAGAAAAAATTACATCAAGAATAAAAACTTGAACTTGACAAACAAAAAGAAAAGGATACATTGAACTGGATAAAACCCATAAAATGGTGTGAAGAGAAGAGAGAGTGATATTTGAATGAAACTTTTTTATCTGAAAGATTTGCGCTTCAGGTGGGACCATTAAGCTTTTTTCTGGTAGAAGAGATCCTCTAGAATGTTTAAATTTTCTTAAAAATTGAGAACAGGAGCATAAACTGATGAGCATTAAAAATGTTACATCAATGGTGTGCCATAATGTTTGCATCATGTCTGTGTCCATACTTCTTAACCCACAAGAATCTATAGATTCCTCAAGCTTATAGTGAGAAGTATACCTAATGTTCCTACCAAAAAGAACATAAATATAATGGAGTAATTCTACATGGTACGTTTACCAGTCAGAACTGAAGCCACGCAGTTATAACATAATAATCAGTTATAAAAAGATGAATTGTTTTTTCTAATTAAATAATGAATACAGGAGAAAGGGGGTAAACATTAGGAAGAAAAAGGTTGTCTTGCCTCTATATTCTTAGTGGTGGGAGCAAAATGGACAAGATTTTTTAAACCAGTATGGCTCATTACAGCTTCCACAACATTTGGGAGGCCTTGTAGTTGGTAATCTAAAGCATATAAACAAGGCCCTCATAGCTAAATATAGTTTGGCATTTTCTACATGAGGAAGCTATTCTGGCTAAGTATTATTAAACCGGTATAGCTTGCTTATGGCCCACTCCTGTTTCGAGGGGATCTCAAAATCTTCTCGACCATTTATTAGCTACATTATTGCTCTCATTGGTAATCAAAAACAAAAGAGGATTGGAAATGGTCATAACACTGTGTTTGGGCATGATTTTCACTAAATGTGAACTTCCTCCTACTGCCTTTCCAAGGTTATACCGTTTATCAACTAAGCCTTTGATATTATTGCTCTTACATGGAATTCTTCAGAGGTAGCATGGGATTGGGCCTTCGGGGGAACCTCAATGAGATTGAATTCTGGAATGGGGTAATCTATCCGACCTTTAATATTCTTTTAAAGTCTGTTAACTTGAGGAATATGAATGACATGGTTTTGACCTCTTGATCCTTCCAAATCTTTCACTTTATTGGACGATTTGATTCACTCAAAAGGTCCAACTACAAATAATATTTACATAGTCGTTTGGAAGGATGTTGATCCAAAATTAAGGTTCTTTTATGGGGGCTTAGTCATGGAAGTATCATAACTGTTGATCGCCACTTAAGTCAAATGCCTCATTTTTTTCTCTCTCCTATATAGTGTGCTATGCGTTCTTCTATTAATGAATGTCCGGGCCATTTATTTTCTTTTTGCTCCTTTGCTTATCACTATCTGAACTTTATGATGGAGGCTTCTAGTTGACGCTTCGTTGTGCCATACAACATTCATGATCTCCTACCTTCTTTGTGCGTCATCTGTTCCACTGTCCCAAGAAGCTTCTATGCTTGGTTTTATCAGGGTTTCTTTTTGGACTCTTTGGTGTGAGAGAAATGGATGAACTTTCAGGGATACTTCCTCCACTCTAGTTTTATGGATTTGAGTATCTTTAGTGCTAATTTTTGGTGTAAATTTAAACACCTTTTCAATAATTATAGTCTTTCTACCTTAATTTCCAACAGGAGAACTTTCATGTATAAACCTTTTGGTGGTTGGTATTAACTCCCTTTAATTCATTCACCAATGAAATTGTTTCTTTTTCCAAAGGAAAAAAAAAAAAAAGTAAACCCTTGTCCTTCCCCCTCTCTATATACATGTGTTCATTTTCTCTTCAATTGCAATAGATGTGCAGAATTAACATAATTCAAAAAGGATTGTCCCGCAAAAGGTTAGAGAAGAAAGTGTACTTCCTTGCACTCTATGGCACCACACAGCAATGGACCAAAATGTAGTCCCATAAACTATATAAAACAACATGGAGGACCCAATAAACAACTTACATTTGGTCCCCGTATTCGAGCAGCAATGTTCATAGATGGGTCCGTGTCAAAGCCCAAGAATACACTCGTGGTCAATGGCTGATTAACCTGATTAATTAGGAAATGAATGATCAGCATTAAACATCAACTAGTTATTGCTAATAAAACTTGGCAGAAACTCCGATCATACCTTGAAGTCATTGTTTAAAGAATTAAAAGACAATGGCACAGCATTCTGACCCTGTCTCAGCATTTCTTCAACCATGGCAGCAGCTCGATCAACAGCTAATATCCTTTCTGCCATATCTTTCAACTGCAGAAGTTTTTATATTAAAAATATATCCATATTTCAATAAGGAAAGGCTACCATGTCTCCATGACTAGAAAAAATGCTAAAAACTGTGCATATCTAAAGAAAATATCAACCAGAGAAACATTCATAAATGTCAGAACACCATCTGAATTGAATCATGATGTCCAACATTTGCACTAGTGGCTCTAGGGAAGTCGTGCCTTAGCTCATAAGATACAAGAGGAATAAGAAACCACATGAGGGGAAGAAAGGGAGGACGGGTCTAGAGGGAGTTCATGAACTTGATGGTAAATGTGTGAATTACAACCAAAAAACAAAAAACAATCCCTGATATCAGCTTCGATGAAAACTTAGTTTCTTTGAGGCTGGTAAGCTGGAACTTTAAATGCCTAGAGGCCAAGAGGAGAAGCATACCGGAAGTTGTTCTTTTAGAAAAGTTACGTACGGCTCTAATTCATTCGAAGAGAGAGTCATATTGGTTAGTCCAACTATTCAGACTATTTTTGGGCCTACACTTTTCTTGCAATGTAGAATATGAGTTTGGTTTTTGCTCGCGACATTGTCAAAGGACATTTCCCTTTATCGATACCCTTAGCAAATGATATTGGGATTTGGAAAATGAATGTGCATGGCAGTCTCCTTTCATTTAAGAGACCACTTTCTCGGGAGTTTTGGAGGATTTTTCAATTTATATAACGGTGGCTGGAGTCTCAAGGACAACTTTAGTACGGTGGCTTTCATGAAAAATTCCAGTGGGGTCAGGACTAAGAGTATAATATGAAGCAGTTCAATAAACCCATTGTTGATTGAGCTATATGGAGCTTCCTTTAGTCAATGAAAGTTCTTATGGTTTAATTTGGTTTGTCTGGGTAGGTTTGGTATTTGTCTGGAATTCTTGGTTGGCTCAGATCAAAGACTTGGGATCCCTACCAAATTATCCATATAGGGGAGCTTTTCAATTTGAAAATTCAAAATTCAAAAACACCCCAGGCACGTCTAGTGGTATTGGGGCATCTAGAAATAGTGAAGGGACTTTGAAGAAATGGGTTCAAACTCTATCGCAGCACCAACAACCTAGGATGTTAAAATCGAACCGAGTTTCCAGCCAACTAATTGTCATAGGGTCATGTTACTACATCATGAGATTAGATCAGGTGCTTGTACGCTAGCCCAAATACTCACAAATATCAAAAATAAACTATATGTGTGTGTTCACAACCACCTGTATAGTCGAAGCTTTCTTTTCAGAATTTGAGACTGCAAATTTCTTTGTTTCACTTCCATTATTGATAAATACAACCCAATTCTGTTCCTCATACTAATGCTAAACAATAATTTAAGATTTGCTTTTAATGAGAAACAAACCAAATTGAAAGAACGCTAGGGATAAACAAAAAGAAGGTTGAAACCAAAAAGAGCCGAACTAAAACAAAAATAGCACCAATTTAATGTGTTTAAATAGCCTGCTTTTACCAGAAAAGAAGTTTAGAAGCTTGTTCATGGTTTATAAAAGTCTCCCAATAGAAGCTAGTAGAAATAGTTCATTTCATCATACATGCAAGAGAATCGGTGAATCCTACTTACATGGACTCCGGCAGAGATGTGAAGATAGAGTGGCTTGTTGCCATCTGGAGGCGTGTTTGGAGGATGATACTTGCCCCTGCAAGTGTAATCAAAGTTTACTTCAGAGAATACATCATAGGAAAAATTCCACCATAATTAATTCCAATTACTGCCAGACCTCGTTATCACCACAGCACCAGTTTGTCTTTGAATCTGCAAGGAAAGTGACATAGCGGGGAAAGCAATTTTACAAAAAACCCAAAAAAATAAAAAATAAAGGAAGAACAAGAAAGATCGTGTCTGGTGAAGGATACAATACATACGGATCAGAAACTAATAAAACCATCAACCCAGCATACTCTAAATACATACTCACCTCCTCCTGGGTCTGACGTTTTGTGAGCTTGTACCGAACAGAAGGTTCTGCATCATTTATTGATATTTCTCTTGCAATTAATTCATCTTGTATCTTCGACTAAAAGCAGACATGCAAAAACAAATACCTTCCATGATAAGAAAGAGGTGCACTCACATGACATAATTGAAATTACAGTGATTGTCCAAGAAAAGTTTCTCAGACCCAGGGGGCTCAAACATCTACGTAATCACAGTGAAAATGATACGAATACAGCCTAGTGATATCAAATTGCTTTCACTCAGAAAGCCTCAGTAGTTATTAACATAGACCAACATCAACAACTATGAAACAGTTAAAATTCAGATTTAAAGAGATATTAATAAATTTTTCAAAAGAAAAACATGGGTACCATGAAACATGCATAAACTGTTATAATAAATTAATTTAACTTTAATCCTTATTAATTGACACTGCATCTCGTGTGAAACATGTACGAAAAATACTCGCACAACCAAGCATGCTACGGAGGAATGCTTCAAATTCCCTCTGGTATCTTTGGACTACAAGGAACCAATAGACCAGTATTGATATACATAAATGCTTTGTAGAATTTATGTAAATCCTGAAGCTGCATGGAAGATAAGAAGGCCTTTGTAGAAAGATATAAAACACCTGATATGGCCTACGGTTGTATATCTCTACAACAATAAAGGATATTAAATCACCTGGGTTATGGTTGCACAGTTGACTGAAGAAACTTGTGCCAATGCCGCCACACTGGCGACAGCAACCCCACCAAGGGGTGTCATGTTGTATGACGGGAGAACCCCTGGAACTGCAATACCAGTAGAAAGAAAGGACTCCGCAGGTTGATCCCACTTTCTTTTCTTTCTGCGAATGTTAATATAAAAAAAAATTAATAAAAGAGAAGGAGAAAAACACAACACAGATAGCGAGTATTTATGAAAAAGATCAACAATTCTTCCTGTAGTTTACTTCACTATACTGGAATTCTTGTAAGTTGTCCATTTCTAAAATCAACCAAGACGAGTTAGTTTAAACTAAATCCAATTGGTCGACTAGGACTAACATCTCACATTAATTAAAATACCCATACTACTAGTAAGATTAATTCCATCAGAAGCTCTTAAAGAAAATTTATAGACGAGTAAAACTAATAGATCTTATGGCAACAAAGCAGCGCATATGATGATATTCTCCAAAACAATACAACCAAGATCTCGCTCATTTTCTCCAAGGGAATTCGAGTATAATCGGATAGGGAGAGATGAGAATACCTTGGCTTTGTTTGGGAAGAGGAATCGATATTGGGAACTGCGCTGGGTTCGTCCAAGGAAACCCTAACGCCACTGTCCTCCGTCATAAGTAATCGAGAAAAGCTTCTTCTTCTTCTTCTTCTTCTTCGTCTTCTTCAGAGGTCGAAATCGGGAGCGTGATGATGAAGATGGTGCAGAGCGCAGCGCGGCCGTTCAGTTGCTCAAAGATGAAAACGACAGTATGCTCACGGCGGGCACCGGCTTTTTGGCTGATGCGCACAGGCGTGGAGCCAATTTCGCTCCCATTTTAATGAATAATAATAGTAATAATAATAATACAGAAAAAAAAAATATAGAAAAGAAATTCATATCCTTTCAACAGGTTTTTAAAATTTGTTTTAATTCATATTCGAAAGTACATATAACCACCACTATGTGGCAAAATTCATGTCCAAAAAAAAAAAAAATTGAAGCCATGAAAATTTGGTTGATCGTTCATTCCTATCCCGCATGTAATATCTCCTCTTCAACTCATCGAGACAGATAACAAATTGTTTATCTTATGGGTATCGGTGAACAAAATATCCACTTTGTCACTCCATTCAAGTCCACAATTTTTTTATATTGGTCCACTACTTCCTTTCGTCGTGCCACCTTTCATGTGTGTCCTTCTACCACGTTACAAGACTTTGCAGTTGAGTTGTTTGCATATCCATTGTTGTCCACGGAATGTCAATCAATTCTAAGAGAAACGAAGTTCTTTTCCTCTTCCTTAGTTAGGATGAATTTTCGGTCCTAGTATGTATACTAGTTGGCATTTTCAGAGTGCCTCTTCCAACACCACTCTTTTAGCATCAAATGGTTGTGGTTGTGAGACCTAGTACTCTTTTGAATCCAATCAGATATTCTCTAGGTGTAATGGTCGGTCTAATGTTAGGACTGTGCAACAATTCACACACTTAATCTAGATGTATACAAAAAAACAAAAAAACATGAGAGAGAGAATGCAAAGAGATATATTGACTAGAAATTTATATTAATTACTTCAAGTATATATATTATAGAAATGGTAGAAATGTACATCTTCTGCATAGCATATGTGTGCGCATATATACCTTCCACCTTAAGTAACATCAAATTTTTAATGAACAATTTGCTTAGGATCCAATCATAAACCAAATCCCTCCTGAGTCCATGAGAGGGTAGAGCCTCATAATTCGAGTCCCAAAATCATCATTTAAAATAATAACTCATAAACTTTTCATATATTAAAAAGAGTAAATTTTATCTCGTGATATGATGTTCCCAACTCCCTATTTCATCAAGTCTCCAAAATTGTAGGCATATCTACAAAAGTTAGTCTCACCCATACAAATCAAATCAAAGGACAAGCTCTTGACAGTCAGAGTTCATAACTCACTTAGAATTAAGATCGATTTATATATGATCATCATTTGAAATATTAATCTTCTCAATTAATAAATTATAAATAGACAGATTAAATATTTCATGGTCTAGTCTTATACAAACTCAATGTATAGGATACCCACATTCACCTATCTTCACATGAATGATTTGGATCAAATCATTTGTAACAATTACCAACTAGATTCTATCGATAGTCTCACTAGGACAAGACATCAAACTTTATCCATTTACTATAGATCCTTTAGTTTACTAGGAACATGATTCTCATGTATGTCAACACATGTTTAAGATTACCTAATAACCTTGAATTTTTAATATAATCGATAATATTAAATTTTAAACAAAATAATTAAAATTATGAATAAAAATTAAATAATTAGGATGAGGTTTTAGAGCATAAATCTCACCATTTTTGACATTCATCTAACCACAATCGGGTAGTCTTTCTTCAATAGTTCTGTGCATGGGACAATTCTGATTGAAATTGTTGTAAATTGTCATAAGTTTTTTTATTTAATTTAGTTATTAACTCTCATCAATTTATAACCGTTGATTAAATAGAAATATTATTAATTTGATTATTAATTTTGTAACCATTTTAATATTAATCTTATTTAATTCCAAAATGTTTGATGATTTAAACGATTGTCCCTATATAATGGGCTTATCTAGTAGGTTGATGATATCGGAATTTGAGAGAGTTTTGTGTTTCACATTGTATTTCTTGAGTGACATTTTGGTGAGTCTTTGTAGTGTAATAGTGAGGTATTCACCTGTAACACTTTGATTATTAGTGATTGGTTGCTACCGTGGATGTAGAGGAATTTTTTCTCTCTGAACTGCATAAATATCTTGGTGTCTCTTTTTGTAATTTCGTTCATTGGTGTTGTGAATACATTCATTCCGCTTTCATCACAACAAGTGGTATAAGAGCTTGATTGTGGTATTTGGGGTATTGTGAAAGATTTGACCTCATCGACGTTCACAATTGTGCTTATTTTCTTGAAAATTAATTTTCAAGAATTGTGTTTTTCTAGTTTCATCTAGATTACTTATTACAAATGGCAGAATCATCTGGAATTAAATCACGGTGTGGATCGAGAATTTTGAGTTCTAATCTCAAAGTAGAAAAATTTGATGGAACCAATAATTTTGGTGTTTGGCAAGGCCAGGTTAGCAATTGGCTGGCCATGCAAGAACTTGATGCTTCTCTACAAGAGAAGATGCCTGAAGACATGACAGACGCCGAATGGAAGAAATTAAATCGACAAGCTTGTGGAATTATTCGATCCAGTCTTGGCAAGGATAAGAAATATCCATTTATGAAGGTGACCATGGTGAAAGAACTACGGGACAAGCTTAGGGCGAAATATATGCAGAAGAGTGTGGAAAATAAACTCTATTTGAAGAAGAAACTCTTCCGTTTTAACTACAAGAAAGATATCTCAATGGCTGAGCATTTGGATGATTTTAACAAAATCATCATTGATTTGCTCCATCTTGGTGTTAAGATTGATGACGAAGACGAGACATTGTTGTTATTGAATTCTTTGCCGAAATCCTACAAGTTTTTAGTAACCACTCTACTACATGGTGCCTATGATATTTATTTTGAAGATGTTTCAAATGCCTTAATAAATAATGAGGTGCGAAAGAAGGACAAGGAGGCATATCAAGACTCTAGCTCAAATGTTCTCACTGCTCGTGGAAGGACTTTTACTTGGAAAAAGAGCGAATGTGGAAAGTCCCGATCAAAGTCAAGAGGTAGATTTGATAATTGGAGAAAACTTGATAAAAATGAGTGTATGTTGTTGACAGAAAGGCCAGAAAGGTTGCTCGATTTTAAAAAAGAAGGGGTCAAAGTCCAATGTGGTTAGAGATGACGACACTGATACAGATAATGTCTTGATGATCTCTCTATCAGTTAGTCAAATCAGTGAATGGATTCTCGATTCTGGGTGCTCCTATCATATGTGTCCCAACATAGAGATGTTTTTGGACTTCAAAGAGTTCAATGGTGGAGTTGTCTATATGGGCAATGATAGTACTTGCAAGATGATGGGAATCAGCTCAGTACAAATCAAGATGTTTGATGGGGTTGTACGAAAACTCAATGATGTGAGGTATGTCCTTGACTTGAAGAAAAATTTGATTTTCCTTGGCGTTTTAGATGCGCGTGGTTATCGTATCATTTTGGAATGAGGGAATTTGGTAGCTCGTGGAGCTTTGGTGGCAATTTAAGGGACTAAAAGAGGTAGCATATACTACCTCAACGGAACCACAATAATTGGGCATGCTGCTATGGCAAGTTCGAAAGTACAAGACATATCAAAATTATGGCCTATGCGACTCGCGCATGCTGGTGAGAAGGCGCTCCAAACATTGGTGAACCAAAGAGTCCTTAAGGGTGCCACAACTGGTAAAATTGATTTATGTGAACATTGTATATTTGGTAAACAAAAAAATGTGAAATTTGGTATAGTTATACACCAAACAAGAGGCATTTTGGATTATGTTCACATTGATGTATGGGTCCCACGAAGAATGTCTCATTGGGAGGAAAGAGGTGGTTTGTCATCTTTATTGATGACTAGTCAAGAAGAGTTTGGATGTATCCCATGAGGCACAAAAACGAAGTTCTCCAAATCTTCTTGGAGTGGAAGAAGATAGTAGAGAATCAGATAGACAGGAAAATAAAAAACTGAGATTAGACAACGGTGGAGAATATACTTATGATCCATTCCTTAAAGTATGTTGAGATGAAGGGATCGTTCGACACTTCACTGTTCCTGGTAAGCCACAACAAAATGGAGTTGTTGAGGGAATGAACCAGACATTGATAGAGAAGATTCGATGCATATTGTCTCAAGCAGGATTGAGTAAGACATTTTGGGTTGAGGCTCTCAGTTATGTAGTTCACTTGGAAAAACTCCGCTTGAGGTATGATCGGGTACTCCAGTTAGAGATTATGATAATTTACATGTGTTTGGTTGTCCTGCTTATTATCACGTGACAGACTCAAAGCTGGATTCTAGAGCGAAAAAAAGCCAAGTTTATGGACTTTAGCAAAGGCGTGAAGGGATATAGGTTATGGTGTCCAGAAATAAGTAAGATGGTTAATAGTCGAGATGTGACATTCGATGAGTCTGGAATGTCTTTGTAGAAAATTGAAAATAATGACGAGGCATCGAAGCAAGTGGAGAAGGTGGTGTTCTCTCCCGATATGGCTGCTCCTACTGAAGAATCTATTGATCAGGTAGATAATAACTTTGATGTCTTAGAGCAGGTGAAACAAAGCCTCGTAAATGAAAGAGTGGAGGAACATGAGTACATCGCCAGGAATAGACCATGAAGGGAAATTGATGAAGTTCCTAATAGACCATGAAGGGTTGATGATACGATAGCATTTGTTTTCCCTATAATTGATGAAGTTCCTAATAGTTACCAATGTGTTATTCAAAATCAAACTTGAGATTTGGTAAACTTACAAAAGGCAGAAATTGGTTATAAATGGGTTTACAAAGAAAAAGAAAATTCTTTTTGGTATAAGTAATGAAGCTTGAGATGGTGGCAACCAAATCAATTATGGACTTGAAGATCCTATAACAAGGTGGAGATTGTGGTAAGTTGTCAAGTTTTTTATTTAATTTAGTTATCAACTCTCATCCATGTACAACAGTTGATTATAAGAATATTATTAATTTGGTTAATAATTTTGTAACCATTTTAATATTAATCTTATTTAATTCAATAACGTTTGATGATTCAAACAATTATTCCAGGCTTGTCTAGGAGGTTGATGATATCAGAATTTGAGAGGATTTTGTGTGTCACATTGTATTTCTTGAGTGACATTTTGGTGAGAGTTTTTGTAGTATGATAGTGA